CAAACATAGTTCCTTTCCATCTTTCCATCCTACGAAGCATGACTGATTTTAGCCAAGACAAAAGAAGTCTTATTTTTATACAGAGGACATTTAAGTGCTGTAAATACATTTCATTAGTTTTGGAACAATGCGATTTATTTGATGTCTAAAGGTTGCTAGTGGGTATTCTAGTTATGTTAAGACATAGGGATAAGTTAATTTCATTAAAGTGAAATGTGATTTTTTTGTGTACCTGCATTGTCTCTCTCTTAAAATATTTAGTAAATTGTAACAATAATAGCATTTAATGCTAATGTACACATCAAGATTCAATATACTGATATTTTGTTATAGAAAGTGACAGAAACAAATAGTAAAATGTCTTCTAGATTAAAAAGACAGCAATGCCTTTTTACCAGTGTCTTCTTTCCTGTCTCTCCGTTCTGTGTCTCTGTTGAACATCCACAATGCAACTGTACTGATACCATTTCTTTTTGTCTTTTTTACATACTGGGCTTATTCACCTGGGCAATTTTCTGATAAAAATGTATTATTCATTGGAATATTCTTAAATAAATATATAAAGAATATAAAATGAAAATCAATTTATATAAGATATATACATCTGGAATGTCTACTATCTTTAAAAACATCACGGATCATATAAAACATGAATGTCTAATTCAAAAATACTTCTTATGCACTGAAGAAATATACATGTACATACCCATTTTATAGAAACAGTTAATTATGCATGTAACAAAATAATTGTATTCTTTCTTAATTAGTTTCCCTCTCAAAAGAATTTCTTAATATTTTCTCTACTGCAAATTAAACTTTCATTTTTAGTAATTAGGAAGCCAGATACAGAATATAGAAGACCCAATGAGAGTATTAGTTTAAGTTAACTTTATGCTGTAGGTTAATTCATGCACAAACGTCAAGGCTTTCCTTACGTTTAATGCAATTTATGAATACTAATATATTCAGTAATTTTATGTCAAAGCTATCCTAGTTTTCCTAATTCTCAAAAGATAAATCTTCCATAAGCATAAAGAACTGACAAACATTCCTATGGTACTTTCAATATTTATCAACAAATAAACAATTTCTGCTCAGCAGTTTCAAATTACCACTTTGATTAACTTGTTCTTGTTGATTCAAATCCATTTATTTTTCCAAATGTCAGCAATAATCTAAACTGTTCCACATCACAGGCTGCTGACAGTTTGTATGTAAGATAATAAACAGAGTTACATTCACTTGGGGCTGCAAAATTCATAGATTTTTCTTTCTGTGGGCGCAGTTATCACATAATTTAGATATTAATTTATCAGTGTTATTTCCAATTCATAGAGCTAATGTCACTGAACTGATGCAGAGTTCACAGGTGTCAAGAGAAATGTAAACTGTATACAAAGTGAAGTTTAGATCAGTGGAAATTACTATTTCATAATAGGTGATACATAGAGAGTTTACCTCAAAATAACTCTTTTAGATATAATGTTTCTACGTATGATTTTTAAAATTTTAAAGGGAAAAACAATAAAAACAATGATTCAGAATTTCAAAACAAAATAATAGGACATTAACAATGGTTAATATTTTGCATATTGTTATATTCAAGTCATTTCTGCATATAGGCGTGCAAAATTGTTCAAGGAATATAGGCACAAATCATTCTTTTCAATGAACTAACAGAAATTAGTATAATGATCTTAGCTATTTTGTGCAATTTCTTTCCCTTCTTTCTTATTCTCCTTTCCTCCTTCCACACTGTTCTTTCCTTTTAAGCAGTTTCTTCCTCTCACAATATGCATTGCACATTTTGGATATTATTAACTCTGAGTTTCTTACACTAAAGAGGCCATACAATGTTTACATATGCAAGTCTGATTTATTTCACTTATGAGTATAGTCTTTAGTTGCAGCCATTTACCTATAAAAGCTTTGGGTTTATCTTTATAGATGAGTAGTATGTCATTGTACAAAAATACAACTTTTTTTTTTATCCATTCCTCTGTTAATGGGCATTTCGATTGTTTCCAAGATTTAGCTGTCACAATCTGTGAATCCATATATATGTGTGCATATATATTGCTCTGACATGATGTTTTTAATTCTTCTAGAAAATACACAAAAGAGAAATAGCTGGATTTTATGGAATCTCTAATCCTAGGTTTTTGAGAAATTTCTCACTGAGTTCCATAGTTATTATACCAGTTACACACCCACCAATAGTAGAGAAATGTTCTTTGTTCCCGGAAGGCCCGCAGGCATTTATTATTGGTTGATTTCTTGATTATACCCACTCTTTATGGGTTAAAATGGAATCTCAGTATTGGAAAATGCAAATTAAAATGATCTGTAATCATTGATCAAACTCATGATCAGTGATGTTGAACATCTTTTCATATATTTATTTGTCATTTGTGCTTCTTCATATGAGAAATGATTATTCATCTCAGATGCTCAGAACCAATAGGTTATTTGAATTTGGGGGACCTAATATTTTTCACTTTTTAATGCATTCTAGATAGAAGTCCTTTTTCTATGGGACAGTTGGCTACAATATTTTTCCATTCTGTGGTTTGTCTTTTCATTCTCAAAACTTAATAAGATGAGATACCAGTTGTTGATTATTTGAAGTACTTCCTGTAAAGTTTGGTTTTTGTTTATAAACTCTCTGCCTACACCTATGACTTCAATATATCTAACTACATTTTCTTCCATTTAGTGTTTCTGCTTTAATATATAGATCTTTGATTACTTTTTGACTTTCCTTTAGTGCATGGTGCTACAAATGAATCTATTTTTGTTTTCAGCATATAAAAAGCCCATTGTTTAGCTCCATTTATTAAAGAAATTATCTTTGATCCACTGGACATTTTTGACTCTTGGTCAAAGAGGGTGGTTGAGTCTGTTTTTCAGTTGTAGCTGCATCTCCTAATTTGTTCCATTGATTTTCAGGTCATTATTTTTTTTTTTTTTGCCAGTACCATGCCAGTTTTATCAGAGTAGCTTTGTAGTGTAATTTCAACACAGAGATTGTGATCCCTGTACCTTGCTTTTGTTACGCAGGATTGCCTTTGATATTCTAGGTCTCTTCTGTTTCTGAATGATTTTTAAGAATGTTTTCTCTAGATCTGTGAGGCATGCTAATGATATTTTGATCAAGACTGCGTTAAATCTGCAATACTGAGAGTATGACCATTTTCATTATATTGGTTCTTCCTATCTACAAGCAAGAGATATATTTGCATTTTCTGATATACTCTTCAACCTCCTTTTTCAGACAGTGTAATTTTCAATATAGAGATCTTCTACTTCCTTTGTTATCTACTGAATGATATTTTAGTAGATGGTGAAGTAAGCAAAACTTTTATATCCAAGGGAATTGTAGCATCATGAGACGTATCAAACTATTGAACTCTTGCACTTGGCCATTTGTGTTTAGATACTGTAAAAAAAGTAAGAAAATGTAAAATGCTTTATTATTGCATAGTTCAGAAAATTTTGCATGCAAGTAAGGAGGGAGGAAGCATGAAAATAATGACTAAATGTTGGGAGCCACTGAAGCTGGAAATTGAACACACATGCAGGGCTGCAACATAATGGCCAGGGCATGGCTGACCAGAGAACAAAGAGATGCCCAAAGGGCAAGAGACGGCCACAGCTGAGGACACCTGGCTCCAATCCCAATTAACAAGATAGAGATTGTAGCAGTAAGCATTTCATTCCTGAGGTGAAAGTCACCTGGAGATTCTCTCCTAACATACTTCTCCTAAGTTAACAAAGTCTGTTACCTGGAAAAGTCTTTGAACTCCCAAAGTCCTGCTCAGTTTCCTGTGTTTTCCACTCTAACCCTTTCCTTGTTTTTGAAATTTAAATAAATATAGGGCTCCAAAGTTATTCCTTGTTTCATCCCCCCAGAGGTTGGAACTTTGTTTGAGGATTTTTATTTTCCTGGAGCCCAAAAATCATATCATTTGTCTCATTTAAGTCTTAACCCTATACTCGTTTGGTAGATTGGGGATCTTGGCCAGGTCCCAATGAATTAATTCATTGATTTTGAATCATATTCTGAAGTCCTCTATTCAGGAATCTAATGACATAAAACTTATTTTTTCTGAGATCTCCAACAATGTCCTTTAGGCAACATTTTACCTTCAATTAATATCCTGACCGGGCCTATTGTGTACAGAAAATTTCAGTCAAGCAATCTAATCCTGTTAGTATGTAATTAGCATCCTGAATTTCCTTTAGTATAGATTATCAAATATTTTAAAGGACTCCAAATTGAGGCTAATGAAAATATCAATGTCATGTATGTTTTTTATCTCACTCATCATTTATTGATATCTTTGCTATTTTCTTCATTTGAAGAGTGTAGAAACCCTCCTCTTCTGGGAAATTTTAGCATAACATCTGTAATACTATTATTGCATCTACCACACCTTGTTGCATTTTCGGAGTCTTCTCAGTTCCCAGGCTTTTTTAAACTCAGACTCAGACTCAATTGAATATCTAATATGTTACCTGCTAAATTAAAATCTTATCATTGTGTTTTATTGTCTGTTTCCCCGACTATTGATTACTTTTGTAGGTTTTAATATATAATTTAAAGGGAATTAATTTTATTACCTTCATACATATCATTTTACTTTATAATTTCTGATTAATGAAATATATTAGATATTGAAGGATTCTCTTATACCAGGATTAATTTTTTCAGAAAACTTATGTCACTCAAGGTTGAAAAATCTCTAAACCCATTTTCTCCTCCGTACAATAAAGGGATGATTTCACCTCAATTGCTTAGTTTAAATATATGCATTGTTGGGAAATCACATAGACTATAATATAAATAAAGTATGGATGCTCAGATTATTTTTGTGATGATTTATCTATAGTTTCAGAAAATCTTAAACTTACTATTATTTTATTGAATGAATTCATCATTTCCAAAACAAATAAAACCTTACTTGCCCATTGCCAATTATTTTTGTTTGTTAATTCAGTTCTATCACACCAACATGTTTGCTACGGAAATGGACCTCTCCAGGCTGCATATCCACCTGCGTTTTGCAGCGCACTCCTAGAGAATCCTGATGGTGATACACCTGCACAGGGGCTATGCAGAAAAATGTCTGAGCCACGTTTAAATTGTGAGTAGCATCACGGAATTTATATGGTAACTTAAGTAACAATAGTACTTCCACAAAAAAAAAAGTAATAAGAACTAAGGAGCAATAAAACCCAAAATGTGTAAATTTTGTTGTAAAAAAGAGAGGGGAAAAAAGTGCTCTAAAGGATAAAACTGCAAGTGTGTTTAGGGGTGTTAAATAGCTGACCATATTAATGTTTTTGGTTGGATCATTGAACACAACTGTTTGCAGTCTCTCTGTTTGAATGTCCACTTTGTATGCTTTGATACTGTGACTTGAGCAACTATCTCTAAGATGATAATGTGTAATCCATTAACTGGTGATTTCTTACTGTTTTTTTTTTTGTAGTTCTGTATTACTTGTACCTTTACACTGCTTTGTTTCTTTTCTTTTTTTTTTTTTGGCTCTTTTTTCTTTTAAATAAAATTTTAAAAAAAAATCTGAGAGCACATATTTAATAGATTGCTTAGCATATGCTTTAATTCTACACTTTCATTGCTAGTACTATGATGAATTTCATATTTATATAATTATCTTTTGAGATTTATTCCCATTTTATATTATTATTCAGTTTATTTTTATGCCTCTGTCTCATGGCATGTGCCTGTATTTATTTGAGGAGAAACAGTTTTCTTCTGAATCATTGGAATGCGGTCCATCAGCCTTTCTACATAAATAATGAATGAACTCACAAATGTTTCTTTCATTTAAAACTAGTATTACTTTATTCAGTTAAAACTTATCCTTTGCCTTCATATCCTTATGGTTTTCATTAGCTCTTTTGTAAAATAGTGTATTTCAACATGTTTGAAAATAGTATGGAAGTGCAACCTAACCACAGATTTGTAATTTTTAATGACTTTGTAATATGAATAATTATTCATATTGATTCTGTCAAGGTCAAAAAATTAAATGTCATAATAAAACCTTTTTATATATGTACAGGAACACACGATTGCCCCTGTCTGCAATCCTCTTTTCAGTGTTCAGCAGCGCTAATAATTTATAATGCTACCAGATTCGAGCCCAACTACTTGCTCATGAGAGGCCAGTTAGGTTTAGAGGCAAAGAACTATGCCAAGAAAGGTGAATGCACTTGAAAGGCCAGCTTGAGGAGGAGATGGAAGACTTATCTATAGTACATGCATCTGAGAAGCAAATTTAAGAGTGGTTTATATCAGTGGCTAGTGCTCATTAACAGAGGGATGGAAATCTCAGGCTGGGTAGATTCTTGGGACCCACACTCATTTAGTCAGAAGATGCTTTTCTGCTCTTTAAATCTTAAGAAAATAATCATTATTCCCTCAATCTTCTTGCCACTGATCAGTTTGTCCACCAGAAGTTCCTACCACGTCACACAACAGAGAGTTTAGGGGGAGTACCTATGCCCAGGCACTCTTACTGATTGTCCAACCAGCATGGCTTTCATAATACTGTTGTCTGTAAAATTTTCACCTAAAGATAGCAAGATTGACGTCTAGTCATGTCGATAGTTTCCCATGGTTTGAATGCTAACACTTTTCACCAGAGGGGTCTAAGAGTCAAGCTCAAAAGAAATTATTGAACCATGTGGGAAAATATACCATGCTTTGAATCTTCTGATGCAATGAATGGCTACTGTTTGTGGACCTGGCTTTGGTTAATTTGCTTTTTTTTTTTTTGGCATGGGAAGAGTTTGGGGTGATGCTAGATCCTACATCAAAGAAACAAAGGATGAGAGTGGAGCTCAAAGTTAAAGTACAAATCTCAGATTGCTTTATTATCCTTTACAAGACAGTTGTTGAACAGTAAGTCTAGACACGGTGGTGATATGCCTATAATCCCAACACCCAGGGAGGCTGAAGCAGGAAAATCCTAAACTTAAATCCATCCTGTGAAATTTAGCTATTTAAGTGAGATCCTTTCTCAAAATAAAACATGAAAACAGAGTTTGAGGATATAATTTATTGTGAATCCTTTTGTTCAAATCCTAGAATCACATGAAAAAAAAAAAAGACCGAAATGAACAACTTTATTATGAGTTGTTAATAAACATCATATCTTAGAGTGATCAGTGACTATGTAAAAGTTTTATAGATGCATAGTTGATATGAAGTATATCATAACCAAGAGGTGTTTGCAGTGATTCTTACAAAAACTTTCTCTTCCTCATATACAGAAAACAAAACCAAACAAAAACCAAACAAAAATAAATAACTCATTTAAATCAATTTGTAATTATCTTAGCAAGACTTCACGAGAAACATAAAAATTTATCTGCTGGTAGGATTCCTTATCTATGGAATTCCTTGAAGGGGGTTTATTGGTCTGACTACTTAGTACATTTATTATTGAGATGTAATAGCCAATTTTAATATCTGTGTGGTTATTTTTACCTGGAGAATGTCCTAACTATCATGAAACTTCAGAGATTAAGTCCAGAAACATTTTATGAAGAGAATGGCTTTCTTTGTGCTGGTAAGGAGTTTAAAAATATTTAAGTGGAGGAGGATGCAGCTCAATACAGGAATAAAGACACCAAGCTACACTGACCATTTCAGATTTCATTGTTTTCTTGTGCTTCAATAATACCGTTGACTTTTGAATTAGCAGTAAAATTAGCAGTACTACAATTGTTGAAAATGTGGTTTGACAGTTCAATTCTTTGTTTTCTATGGCAAGACACTTAGAAGTCCTTCCTGTAGGACCTGTGATACAAGAAATCTGTATCAAAATGTATTAAAGTCCCCTCAAATCCTTAGGTTGTAGTTCCAACCCCATGTACCTTAGAAGGTAACCATACATGGCGATTAGTATTTGAAGAGATTATTAAAATGAGGACTTGAGGTTAACATCCTAATCCAAAGTGACTGGTGTTTTTATGGGAAGAGAAGGGCAGTAAAGTTAGGTACATAATGGGAAAACTCATGTGAATCCAACCAAGAACAAGGGCATCTATGAGGTTAAGAGGAGAGATTTCAAGATAAAACAAACTTGCTGATATTTTGTGTTAGATTTTTAGTAACCAGATTTCTGGCATATAAAAATCCCAGTCTCAAATTTTGTTAAACCATTCGTAATACATTCATGCAATCAGATTTATTTGAACTTTCACTCCAAGGAATACATACTTTTGCTGAAAAACATACAATTCAGTATGACAAATGTCATCCTGCTTTAATTCAGGGTTAGAGTTTCATGACAGTTGAAAGTTGAGAGATGGCCCGTTGTTTTACAGATGAAGATCAGAGGCCAAAGAAGCAAAATGAATTTCTGTAAAACTCTCTTACCAGAGAATTTCATGTAGGCCAATAATTAACACAGTTCTTTCAGACTCTTGTTAAAAATTTGGAAGAAATATGATATAAAAAAGAAATGGCATATTGTGGTCATATTGTCATCTATATTACTATTAAAAGCTAAATAAGGACTATAACTTAGAGAAAAGAGAAGAGCTAGCTAAATGCACTGGATTAATTATAATAACAGCCTCTCTAAAACAAGACAGGTTTGGGCCAGACATTTTTAACCACTCTATAATGACCAGAGTCAGAATTACTCTCAAAATGAAACAGAATGATTTTACTTTGTTGGATGGAAGATTTGTGCTGAGATTTGAGCTGAGTTAGCTACCTACAAAGGTGTAACACACTGCTTAGTGGTCTGAAACAACACATTTATTTGCTTACAAATTGCCTATTGAGGCACAGTACATGGTAAAAAATGGTCTTGGATGCAAATGGTGTTAGCTTGAATTAAGCATAAAGGTTGGTTTTTCCCTAATGTTCATACATCAGCCAGGGACTTAGTTCTTTACCTCTCTGTTTACATAACTTTATCTGCAGTTCTAGATTGTATCTTCCTAAGATGGAAGTCTCAGTTTAGTCAGATTCATTTGCTGGTATTTTGCCTCTCTGTAGCAGAAAATAGAAGTTCTGGACTGCTTATTACGTGAACTTTGACGTTTCCAAATAATATTTCAATTGCCTTTTGTTTAAATTAAATAATTATAGAAATACGTTAAATACAATTGGAGTAAAATAAACTTATTTTTTGATGAGTGTGTGTGGTTAAAAGTAATAGCAAATTTGATTTTGTGATTAGAAAGATTCTTCTTGCAATTTTAAAAGTTTGAGCTATTCAGTGGTCCAAACATACAACCTGTCAATCAAATAAGTCAAACAAGTCACACCATCACTGGATGTAGAATGAACAATGTCAGAGAAATACCAAATGTACTATAATAAGTGGGTTTAAATTAATATGAGCTTAACGTAAATGCAAGATTGAAAAGTAGAAATCAGCTTAACAACATTGAGTTATGCATTTCTCTTTAGTTGCCTAAATTGCTGCTTGTATTTGTTGTCTTTCTGCATTTTTTTGTTGTTGTTGAGTTTGTTTGTTAGTTTTGATGTTTCTGTCGGGCCACATATTTGTCATCTCATAGTTTGCAACTGAATGTGTGTGTGTGTGTGTGTGTGTGTGTGTGTGTGTGTGTGTGTGTGTGTACAGGTAGTTAATGAAAAACAGATCCATGACATATAATGAATAAATATAATGTAAAGAACTACAGAGAAAGAACAAAGGAAGAGAATGTCCCATCCCTGCATCTTCTATGTGTTTGTCTGTCTGTCATGGGACAATCACTGAAATGTCCAAGTTTCCATTTAATTTTTCACACAAGACTAAAATAAAATAAAGAAAAAAATATATATTTCTGCACAGAGCCTATATCAGTTAATGGTTTCATCAATGTCTCATAAACTTCGTAAACCATCATTCTGCATTCTGTTCCTCAATTAGTACTGAGGAAACAAATATACAAATATATTTCATTATATATTATAGATTCATAATTATTAGATAAATAATTTTTCTACAGCAATACTGAGCTCAAAAATGCACATATGATCTTTTTAAAATCTAATTTAAATGCCATTTTCTACATCTGGAACAGGAAACCTCTATTTTAATAGAATCCTAAGGTTGGCAAACATTAACATTGTATTCTGCATCCCAGCAAGCTCTACTGGAAGTTGTGTTCACTATGTAGATCACCTGACTTAGGTCATGCTGACTTACAACAATAATCTGCTGCTCTTAGCTACTTACCATTTTCAAAGGTCTCCATTAATGATGCTACTACTTTTTAATTTTTATTTTATTATTTTTGCATTTTCCTTACTTGCGTCACTTGACCTTCTGATCCTTTGTATCCAGCGCATAATATTGAGTATTTTTTTAAAGTCATAGAAAGGTTCATTAGTACACACAAGACATACAGTGTAGAATCTCAAAAGAGGGAGATAGTAGGTATTTTTT